CTGTGTGTGTGTGTGTGTGTGTGTGTACTGGTATTTCTTTCCTTGTTTGTTTAAATTAAAATTGTAAAAAAAAGACAAGATAAATTAATTATGTGAAAAAAAGAAAAAGTGTACTAATATAGAAAAAAAAGTGACTAATATAGAAGATCCTAGAGACAATTGATAATATATATATATGCCTTCTAGTTCATGTATTCATCAAAATAAAAAATGCTATCACTTCTTGGTCAGTTCTCCACAATGTATGATATAATAAGTGAAAAGTCATTTAATATTACAATGTTGAACAGGATGATGCTTCTATTTTTTTAAAACAAATTTTTGTTTAGATACTGATCTATTGAAGGATGCAGTTATATAAGAGCAAATGGCTCTTCGCTAGAATCTACAGAGAATCGGGAGCCAGGTCTTAGCAAATTTAGCATTGTTGTTAAATTAAACAAAATATCAGATGATACATAAAATTTTGATATATCTCTTACTGGAAATTCAAAAAGAAGTAACTAGTGATACTGTAAGTAAGTAGCTCTAATATTCTACATTTCTTAGTAAATAGTCTCATTGATTCATTACACACTCAATATTAAAATAGAATATTAAAATCAGAATTTGTATAATGTTAGAAAATATGGTCAATATCTCTAACTTTTATGAGTATGATGAGTGGTATAATAAAGTTTTATTTATAAGATCGATTCACTTAGAGCTTTAAAATATCTCTAATCTAAGTAGAATCATCGGATCATTAGTTTTCTCTTCCTCTTTTCCATTGCATTGTTCTGTTTATGACCATTAAATGTTGTTGACAGCTTTTGCCGTTCTTATCAATGAATAGAAACGAAAAAAAAAAAAAATTCTGTACATAATCGCAGTGTACAGCAGAAGAGAAACTATTTTCTGTGGTATTTTTTGAATGTGCATTTGTGAATTAATTATATAGACATACAGTACACATACATGTGTTGTATGTGTCCCATATTTTTGAGAGATTTATTGCCAATATACACATGAACTATAGTTTATATATACATCTATTTGAGATATATATTTATACACATGAACCTATAACATATTTATATATATATATATTCCTTCATTTTTTTTTTTGAAATAAAAAAAAAGGGAAAGAATAAATGACCTTTTTAATGTGTGTGTGTGTGTGTGTATGTTAGTATATATGTGCTTTCCTTCTTTTGCTTCACTTATTCATTCACATCACACAGAATTCTACAATTAGATGAAATAATAATGAAAAAATTTATTTCTTCTCGAACGCGAATATAAACGTCTGCATTTTTTTTTCTTCTACACATTATTATTATTATTATTATCGAGAAGAGTATAAATTCAATATATAAAGAGAATAAGACGTTGATGTTGAAGAGTATATGTACATAGTTATAAGACATAAATTGTTCTTCTCTCACTCACGCATACACATATCTCTCTGTATGTCAAATATGTATTTTGTTGGTTGTTAATTGATGATTTAATGGGTTACACGAACGAACAGGAACGAAATAGGCGTCGGCAAAATTCTCGTCTGAATTTCATTTAATGTAAAAATGTATATATAGAGAGAAGTAGTTGCAATCTAAATATAATAATACATAAAAGAGAAGATTTCTTCTTCTTTTTTCGTTCGTTTTTCTTTTTTTTTTCATTGTATGTGCATTAGCATTACAGAGTGTATAGCGATACACGCATAGAAAGAGAGAAATTTATTTGTCGACCTTTAAGATTATTACATATTTTATAGATGAAATAAATCGTCGTTGATATCATGGAATATTTTACAAAGACTGTGGATCTTCAACAACATTCCCCTAATCATGGGAATGGGAGATCACCGTCGCCACAACCAACAATAATCCAAACATCATCAGTAACAGCTGGTGCACCTATCACACAATTTCCAAGTGTTTTTTCATATTATGACTTTACAACTTATCCACGTGTTAAAAATGAAATATTAAAATTGAGATGTCGATTTTGTGATACGTTTATTAGCGGATCGATTCGAGTAACATCCAATTTTATTGGGCATTTGAAACGAAAACATGTCAAAGAATATTGTGATTATGTTAATGGTAAGTTAACTAATTGTATTTTCAACATATAAAACTGAAATTTATGATTATCAGAGTGTCTTCATTGTACTCATCAAGATAGAAAGTCCTTAATGGTCCTCTGAAAATACAGAATACTAATATAAAATATTTAACATTGATTTAGTATTCTATTGTTCGATTAATGTTAGAAAATTAGCTATATCTGTTTCTCTTTGTTTCTAGCAAAACGTTTGCGTGTTGAATTAAAAGGCGGCAATAGCACCGAAAACAGTAACAATAGTCATATTCAACAACATCAACAACAACAACGAGATGTTATTTCACCACCTAACCCTCATGCTTCATTAACAGGTCGTGTTTCTACTCAAAATCACCAAAGCAATAACAATAATCATCATCATTCTCATATACCCTCACCAACATTACAACAAAATAATCGTTATCATAACAGTAAAAAACAACAACAAACATATTCTCCCGCATCTCTTCCACAACAAGCATCAATTCATCATCACTTACAACAGCAACAACATTATCGGCCATTATCCAAAAAACATCCACAACAAGCATTTTTGATTCCAGATTCAAAGTATGCTATTTTAATTTGTTGATTATTTCAACTTCCCACTATCATCTATAGTATGACTCTTTTTACCATACGGAAAAGTGTTTGTGTTTATTTTTAGACATCAACGTCCATCGTCATCATCAGTTTCTTCGTCTCATCCAACATCTCATACTCATACTTCTATTAATCATCGTACATTATATAAACAGCGTCAACAACCGCAAAAACGTAAATTATCACCATATGATCTGTCTACTATAGTAAATGGTCGTTCATCATCAACTAATTCCACATCGTTAGGAAATCAAGCTCTGAATTCTACATTATTAAATGCATTACATTTATTACAGCAAGAACAACAACAAGCATCTACTTCATCTACATCTTCCACGTCCGTATATCCGTCGTTAACTGTTGATCAACAAGATCATGTATCATCGACACAATCATCAATAACAAAACATTTTGTACAATTGTTAATTCAAATGTCACTACCATTATCCGTATTAGAAGATAAATCATTTCAAGAATTTATTTTACTATTGAATTCATCGTATCAATTACCAACACGACAACAATTTTATGATCAAATATTATCAACCTATCTACAAGAAACTGAATCACGTTTAAAACAAATTCTATCTGAACAACAATTTTTAATTTTAAAATTTAATTTATTAACTACGACAACAAAAACGATTACACAACAAAATCAACAAATATTTTATATTTTAGGTAAGTTGTAAACAACAATGATTAACAAAAAAAAATACTATATTAATTAATGTTAGATTATTTCAAAAGTAATGTAGTTAAGATCCGTGTCGGTAAACTATTTATTATTGTTTTAGTTAGTTGTCAATATATCGATGATGATTGGTTGCCACATTGTTATTTATTAACGTGTCAAAGATTTCGTTTGTCATTTCCTAATTATGATAAATTAATTTCAAATGTCTATGATTATTGTATGGAAAAATATGAATTATCATCACAAAAAATTGGTATTATAATTGTTGATAATGCGTGCAATATTGTCAAAGTTTATCGAGAATTAAGTTTACCAGGATGGAAATTGGATGCTGGTAATGAGTTAATATCGACTGAAAATGATGAATCCATGATAACAACGGTGAATGATGGAGATGAGAATGATACAACGAATGAAAGTGAAAATAATAGTAATGGTGGCGATGGTAATGGTAGAGATAATCAACATCAACAGTCTGGACAACAAGATGATTGGCAAGAAGTGGATTTTGATGATGTTGAATTATTTGCATCTAAAGGTAACTCGTATAATAATTTTCTATACAGTACATAAGAATGACTCTTATTTGTTTAGATGTTGATCATGTTTGGCAATATTGTTTTTCTTATTTATTACAACGATGTATGAAAGAAATATATTCATCTTGTTCCATTCTTATTTCACCATCTATATCAAAATTATGTAAAATAATTAATCATTTACAAATGTCGGATATTCTTTTATCATCATTTCGTAAACTTAATGGTTTGTTAAATCAATATAATCAAATACGTTGGACATTTCAAATGAAAATTTTACGATCTATATTCAATGTTTATTATATTGGAACAGAATGTGTTCCACATGAATTACGTTTAACGCATGATGAACGTCTATTTCTCAAAGAATTAATTGAATTATTAGAACCATTTGAAGAAGCAATTGATCTATTACAAACAGAATCATCTATTTCGAAAATTTTACCATCTTATCGTGGACTCAAATTACATCTAGAAAAATTTCAAGCACAATCATCGTCAATTAAACAAATTCGAGATTTATTAACAATGAATTTTTCAAAAACATTTGAAAATTTAGAAACAAATGAACATCTCATCTTATGTAAGTAATAAAAATCTTTAAGCAATAATATTCTATAGCTAGTAAACTGAGAATATTTTATTCTTTTTTTTTTTAAAACTTTTGTTTATTTGCGTATTTTTTTGTGTCTTTTTTTTAGCTGCCATTTGTGATCCAAATTTTGCATTTCGTTGGACAAATTCACTGAACGATGAAACTCAAACGTATCAAAATTTACTTCTAAGATCATTACATAGTAAAACAAATTTACTCTCATTTCATCAACAACATCAATCACAAACCCAACAACAACGAAAACAAGCAAAATCTCCAACATTGGCAAACAATAATAATAACAATTCAACTACGTCATCAACATCAAAATTATTCTCATATATGAATCATCATGTAACAAAACAAGAAGTAATTCAATTTAATATTTCTACATTTTTATTGTTGGACAAAAAGTTAGTTTACTAACATCATTAGAATTACAATTCTATTGATTAATATTGAATAAAAATTTAGCAGGTTTTATTCTGAATGTTTTGATAAAATACAAAAACATACGTACTCGATTATTTTAACGGTATATGATAATAGTTTGACGTTTAGAACCAGCACATAAATAATCTAAAACATAAAATTCTATTGTAAAAAACGATCTTATCTATTTGTTATAGCCTGCTGATGATACAGAAATTCAAGAAGATATCACTGAAGAAGATATTTTAGATAGAGAAATGGCTGTAGAAGAAGACGATTTAGAAGATGAGGGTAAGTGTCAAAAAAGTATATTTTAAATGTTTTCTGAATTTATTTGTTTTTACTAATTTCAGAAGATGCTGAAGCTATGAATATTATTTATGAAAAAGAAATATTGGACTATATTCAATTAGTTAATGATCCACTACAAACATCATTATCAAAAGACGCCTATGAATTTTGGCGTACAAATTCACATCAAATACCCAATATTGCTCGTTTAGCTAAACGTCTATTAGCTATACCATCTACATCTGTCTATATTGAACGTTTATTTCATCGACAAGGTACAGGAACAATATTGAAACCTCTCTCATCATTTCAATCAATGACAAATCAACATTTTTCTGATTTTCTGTTTTTAAAAGCAAATCAAAATGTTTTGTCTTGACAGTACGTCGTATGTAGATAACCAATTTTGTTCTGACTCTTTTTTTTTTATTCGTTTCTATCTATCTATTGCAATGATGCTAATTTTGTTTTTTGTTTTGTTTCTTTTGATACTTGCTGTGCTTTACTGTTTTCTTTTTCTTGGTATGAACTTTATTTTTTGCTCTGATTTTTCTTACAGCGAACAAAAACAAGATAAAACATGATAGTTGATAAATGAAAAGAATAAATCAACCAAAAATAAATAATAGGAATTATTAGAATTGAATCCCTTCTCCATAATGTAAAATCTTTCAATGCTTTTAAAAAATTTAACTTACTCGATATATTTAAAACTCTTTCTAAGATTCGCTCTTTCCTATAATGATCTCATAAAACAACATATTTTAAAAATAGTTACGAGACAAAATATACTGGTATATCTTTACTTTTTTAGAATTAAAATTTTTAGACTATTATTTTCTTAGTTTCATGTTTTATCTGTTTTCACTATGCAAATGAGTACTAAAGATCAAAAATGATAAACAATTCTTCGTCAACACCCGACCAATTAGTTGATAGCATGCATGGTGAAAATATTGGTCTCTATACGGAATTAAATGCAGAAAAAATTCAAGATTTTCAAGCGGCATTCAGTCTATTGGATATTGATTCAAATGGAACTGTAGGAACACAAGAAATTCAACTTGTAGCTAGAGCAGCAGGTAATTATCAATCATTGTTTACCTTTTTATATCAGAATTCTTGTTCTCTCTTGTTCATGTGTTTAGGCATGGAATTACCTGAAAGTGAAATTCAATTATTGATTGGTTCCGCAGATGAGGATCATTCAGGTGGTATTGACATACGAGAATTTGTTAGTATGATGACAACGACGATCAATCCACAAGATCTTGAAGAAGAATTAAAACAAACATTCAAAGTATTTGATAAAGATGATAGTGGTAGTATTAATGCAGATGAATTAAAAAAGTTTGTTAGGGTAAATGAAAATGGTGATGTTTGAGATTGTGTATCTGTTTTTCTTTCGTTTATTTTTAGCTATTTGACAGTGAATTAAGTGAAGATGAAGCAAGTGATATGATTCAACAGGCTGATTTGAAAGGCACGGGTGGCATTGATTATGATCAATTTATTCAATTTCTTTTACATGCCTAGTCTTTTTGTGCAAAAAATAATATACTGTGAGTCGGATTCTTTTCTACCTGATATGTGTAACATAAACCTATTTATCTTATTTATGATATATTTTCTAATCTTTATCTCAACTTGACTTTTGTTTTCGTCTTGTGAATAAATTTCTAATTATCTTTAAGAATTTTTATTTATTTAAGGTAGAATATAGTCAACTCTTTACTATAACAATTGCCAAGTACACTTAATGATTGTCTCACATCCGATATAGTTAGTTAAATGTCCCTTTTAAAAAGTATAAATATTTATTTTATTGAGGATGTTATTTATTAAGAAATTATATATTTTAACTTTAACCCTTTTAGTCCGGATGACTTATATATACATCATGATATTTCGAAGGCACAAGGAAAATTTTAAATTCTGAAAAGTAAATCCGGATTGAAAGGGTTAAATTTCGATTTTAATTTCATATTTTGTCTGTATATACAGTCTGAAGACAGTATCAACTCAAGCCGCACTTCAACGAGTTCTTACATACTAGTGCAGCTGAACAAAAAAAGATGAATGAAGAAAATGATTAGTCGCCTATTTTTTTCCTATTAATGAGGATCTACAATACTATCTATAAATCGCTGTTTATGAAGAAAATAATTACATTAATTGTAATTAATCGACGATTTTATTCGAAATCGCGATTTATCGTTGATATTTTTACAACCCGCGATTAATCACCAAAATTTACATGATTTTGAGGCCATGGGATGTTGCTTGTAATAATATGCAGATCAAATTCACTCACCCAGTTCTCATCACATACGTGTCATTTCCTTAAGAAATTTCTCGACAGGATACCGTCGATGGAGATCCCATCGAATCCTTTCATTTTCGCCGTCTGCAGACGTTTTTGTAGTCGGATATCAGCAAGGGTTCGTGTCGTTTCTGATCGTCGTAACTGTCCGAATCTGTTGCTACGAGAATCCGGTATGAAACCTTTGGGAATTTGACAAATTCGATAATACCGGTCATTGAATCTTCCCTCGGTGCTGATGAGTTCCGGCAATAGGAATGATCGACGTGAGTAATGAAATTACTGGCTTGGAATTGACTAATTAACTGGCTATACTTACAATATAACCTACTTATTCTTGATGATAAGTATAACAATTTATATACACGTCTATCGAAGGGTATAAAAATGGTATGATTACATAACAGGATATTTTGGCTTTCCTAATGATATTTATATTAAAGCGAACGCTTAAGTATATTAGCGGTTGATATGTCTCGAAAGATCCTAAAGCAAAAAGTAATTGACAATAAATGAATATCTTTTACAATATTTCTCACTTTACTGAATAAACACAACTGGGAGTACTCTTGCTAAGAGATCCACCTCGATTAAAATTTTCTTTGACGAGAGAATAGAATCCAAAAAGTGACTTTATTTTACTTTTCTAGATGTGTCATCACTACTCGCAATTGTGCCGTCGATCGAAAAATATCAGTCTGTGACTAAAATGGTAAATTATGTGTTAAAATTAAAGACGTTTGTTGTATGTGTTATACTCTTCGGTTCACTCTCTATTGTCAATTCTTATTAAGTCAATCAGGTGAGCTGATTAAAACTGTAAAATGTTAAGTGGTTCAATGATTAAAAAGTCGAATGATATTAAACAGTTAGGTAAAATGTTCATGATTACAATTTTATAAATAGACGTGTTTTGTTTTTCTGTTTGTTTAGAGCACAGTGGATCGCTGAAAAATAATCGATAATAGTTGAGTAAGTCGTTTTCTGTTCTCAAAAGAAATGGGACTTCTTCGATAGGTGTAAAAACAGATATCCTCTTATTTGGTATGTTTCTATATCATTGGAGCAGTACATCATTTCGTGTAGCAGAAAATAAAGAGGAGGAACATGTATCTTTTTCAAAAAAATAATACCGAGCGTAAATTTGCTTCATATTCTAACAACTTAAAAAAAATTCATTAAGGCTACCCATTTCTACTTTTCATCACAACTACGCGAGAAAATGTTCGACATAATGTCAAACTATCTTTGCAAACCGGGTTTAAGATATAGGATCCACTTGGTTTCGTCAAGAAACAGATTTATTTTTAGTTTGTTAAAGAAGATGAAAAGTTTTAGCATGAGTAAACAGTTAGTAAACATTGATAGATATCCCTATCTTTTTATACATTGGCCAATTCTCGTGAAAATGAACATTTTTTCATTAGGAAATAAAATATTTCATGATATTTAAGCCTTTCGTCATGTATACCATTAGAATCAGAACTTTTATTATTTATATGATAAATTAAAATACATAATATAGTGAAATCTCTGTATGCAGGCACCTCTCTAAAACGACAATCTCTTCATTCTGAACACTTGCTAGGAGCCCTAAAGTGGGTTTTTTGCAGAAAATGACCCTTCCTAAAGCGGACTTTTCTTTATTATGACCACTTGAAAAGTCTAGAATATGAAGGTTCTGCTCCCAGGTCAAACGATTCTACTGTAGGATTCTACAGGATTCCTACAAGATCTTACAAGATCCTACTTTAGAATCGTTCAGGATCCTGCAAGATTCTATGAAAATCTTGTAGGATTTTGTAGAAAAACCTCATAGCCAAAAATCCACAAAGTAACAGGAAAGTTAAATGTAAATAGGTTTATTGTTTAATTATTCTCTGATACCAACGATAGGCCAAAGACGTGTGACTCACACGTCGTCGAACAGTAGTGAATTTCGATGGTTCACAGTGTTCAGTGAGAAAGTTTGAGCCTAATAAGAGTTTTCATTGTCCACAGTAGAGTTGTATTTATATTAGAATTACTGCAAAACACGTCGGTGATTGTGTCCTCGTATAGAAAAAGAAAAGAAAATCTATACAGAACGAAAAAATAGGAATTTTACACAAAATCTCACCGGAGGATTTTGTAAGCATACGTAGAAATGCATGATAGCAAAATCCTACAGAATTTCTGCCGTAAGATTCCATAGGCTGTCATAGGACCCTGCAATAGGAATCCTTTGAAATCACTTCACACTTCTCTGACACTATTTTTCATCCGAAAAAAGGATGGACCAGAATTACTGAAACGATTACTCACAGAATTTCTACGAACGTAGTAACGAACGTTTCACCCTTTATTCTTCTGGTCCACCCATAATGTCACAAGCAATTTATATTTTGTGTCAAATATACACTATGATTTTGACGTTGAGATATGGTAGAACACCAAATATTAGGAGGTTTGTGTTTCTGTGTCATAAAATCTTATAAAAATAATAGTTTCACTCTCTATCTCTTACTCAAACAAATGTAGTTTCTGTTTGTCTTCGAATATGTTGACTATATGTAAGAGAAAAGAGAAAGAGAATCGTTCAAATGAATGAAGAAAAAAACGATTTACATTTATAGGCGCATTTTGACTATCTTCTCTTTCTGCTTTAGCTTACATGACACTATTCCTGTATATATGATCTTTCGAATATTTTTAATGGTGAGTGAAAACAATACGCAACTAACTCGAGCATTTTCTTATACACTTAAGGTATTAGAAACCATATCAAATAAGAGAAAATGTATTTTTGTAAAAGCCGTAGAATAGAGGTCATGTTCCTTTCTAGAACAAGAGAGGGCTAACTTAACTCTTATCGATTAAGTTACAGTAATCGACTGCGGAGTTCGTGGATTTGTCTATTATTGCGTAGAAAAGTCTTGTAAATCAGGCGCTAAAATTTTTGTTCAGTTTTATAATAACAGTATCTATTTTTTAAATTCATCCGACTATTGTCAAAAATTGAATAAGTATTATTTAATGATCATATTCTTGCTGTATGTGTATCATTCACTCGATTCGACGGAATCTGGTTCTCGAATGTACTTGCACTATATCAACGAATGCTGAAATTCTTAGATGCGTTATATTGAGCAATTCTTATTCTTCATAACTCATTGGATGTAACTGTTACAATAACAGCGCAAATTCGTTATCATTTCAACTATTCGACATATATTAACCACAATAATTATGGTGATTCTATGTGAACGTATCAAGACAATTTTGTGAACCATGTTTATCATTATATTACAATAGTATCTATCAAGTATCTGATAAATCTGAACAAAATAATCTCATAACATTCGAGAATGGACCAATAAATACGATATATATATAAATGTTTTCGTAGCTATGATTCATGTTTATTAATGATATTAATGATATTTCTGCGAAAGACATTTGAGTGTGCACCACTGCCAAGCAAGTACCGAACCAGTACCGATTAGCACTGGTGTTGCGCTGATTTTTACCGAAATTTTATCTGTTGTCAGAAACGTGTCGCAGTGGTTTAAAGAGTGGTATCGGTGCGGAACAAGTGCTCATAAAATGCAGCTTACACGGACACGGATGCACGATCAGTGGCGATAAAAATATTTTTATAAAGATAAATACTAAAAATATTCGATGCGAATTCTCAATTGGAACTGTCGATAATAAGGTTTGGCACTTTATGGTGCGGTACGCAGGAGTGTTTTAGACATGTGATAACACGTTTCAAAAAGAAGATTTATTAATTATCGAAACGTAGTAATAGTAATATGAATAGATTGGCATATTCAGCAGAGGCAGGGGACGCCAGCCCTCTGTTAGAGAGAAGCGTGCTCTCGTTAAAAAGTTGTGGTACTGAACCGCAACTAACTAACGGGGAATTCGCTCCCCTCTCTGAATAATGCCTAGATCCATCACTGACCGTATACTTTAATAAACGTTTATGATTGTAAAACTCCGAAAATATTTAAAGACGATTTTTATTGTAGACTATTAATTCTTTTTTTCTGCTAATGAGACTTTAAACTATTGTTGTGCAAATATTTTTCGCGTGAAAAAGTATAGAAAGAAGAAATTTGCTTGTCAATAAGTTATTTCTCTCTGTATATTACATTTGATTTTCTTTCTCTATTTCAATAAATGACGTGTACGATACGGTATTTGATTTTCTACGTTGTGCGTGCATATTCTATATAGAAACAAGTTCGTTTGTTCCTACAGAGCCATACAAAAAACGTTTGACGCGACAGACAACACCAAAGTCTATGGTTACGGCGTTGATCGTAAACAGGGCAAATACGATGCTTTCTGGGCGAATGGTGCACGTAAGAGCGCCATAATCTTGACCGTAACTTGAATACGTTTTGTGATCGTAAGAGTGGTGTTCCTATTAGGCCATTTACTTGATACCAATGTAATTATAGACCGTAAGAGCGCCGTAACTGGCAAGAAGTGAATTGGAATCCATATCCTCGTATTACGGTCCGTATGTCGTTTACGGCAGCCGTATTTGGTTGACTATAAAATAAGAAAAGAAAAAGAAGAATCTGTAGTATATGCATGACTTCGAATCACGATAGTTAGCACACGTGCTCATCACTTCTTCTATTTGCACTATCATGTCTACACATATTTGTAAGTGAAAAACTTTATATTTCGATATATAACACTTTTGACAGTGCAGTATTTTTGAAAAGCTATTAACTTCGTAACGACACAATACTTTTTCGAACGGAGAAACGGCATTTTTATAAGAAAGCACTGCAATGTGAAGAAGACGTATTTCTGATCTTTGAATACGTTTTGTGATCCTGAGAATGGTGTTCCCATTATGCCATTTACTTGACACCAATGTAATTGTAGACCGAGACAATAGCTAATTCTTAAGTTCATTGGCTCAAAAAGAATATTTTATTCCTGTAAGCTTGTAGCTAAATATGTAATATTAAAGTATTTTTGTATCATAGACTTGTTTTACGGTCAATTGCGGTGTCATTTCTGGCTGTTTATAACTACTGTAAACAGAAACAAGTAGATAGCTCGAAATGGCCACTGGAAATCGCTGTAACTTAGAATTTACGACTGCACGATTCGGTAGTCGTAACTGACTGTGAGTCACTGTTTACGACCTTTTAGACTGTGTCTAAATCATCATCTGAGCAGCATAGAAGAAGAAAAAAAAGAGTAAAACAACGAAGTACTGGTTGTCTATAAATGTACATCAACTCAACTTTTTGCGCGTCTGAACTAATATCAGTTATACAGACGAGAACATGTAACGATTTCAACGTGTATTGGTTCCAGATGAGTGTACATGTAAATAACATCTTATTAAGAATTATTAGTATGAAAAAAGTATAGAATATACGCTAACTTGGTGTAAGCTTTTTGTAGGATATAAGATGTTCTTTAGGCTCTATTTATTTATAATTCGTTCCGTCTGAGTAAATCTTTTAGAGGTATGTGGATTTTTGTATCCATTCCATATTCCTGATGATAAAAACAAATTGCACTAACTCTCACATGAACGAAAAACAAACTCTTTTTATCTCTGGCATCAGCTGCTCTTTTTTGGTTTTTCAAGTCTTAGAAAAATGTCCATCAGAGGTAGTATAAAATATTTTTCTAAAGTGAGCATGGCCCTTCCTCGATCCTGTGCTAGCCACACACGTGGCTGTAAAATTTATTGTGTAGTATTACACCTTATAGTAACAATTAACACAATATAATTATAATTATCGAGGAAAGCAAAACAAAAAAACACAGAAAAGAGGAAAAGGATGAGATTAAATAGAATTGGTATGGAAATGCAACAAAACCTAGTACAAATGAAAATACTACTTAAGTTGCAGCTTATAAGAATTTCAGATTTAACAATCTTAATCAACAAAGTAATGTTATATCACAATTACTTTTAAATGGTATACCGACATTTGGGCACGCGCGACATTTGGGCGCAACGACATTTGGGCGCACGTCATTTGGGCGCAACGTCATTTGGGCGCAACGACATTTGGGCGCACGTCATTTGGGCGCACGTCATTTGGGCGCAACGACATTTGGGCGCACGTCATTTGGGCGCAACGGTAGTTAAAGTTCAATGGCGCCGGTGCGGATGTGGGTGGGTATGAGTATTGACGAAGATTAAACAAACAGTAATTACAGTTGGATATGAGTAATATAGAAAAAGCTCTCACATCGTACCAACTTTGTTTAAAGAAAACTTTATCACTTTAACAAATGCACTCTTACTGAATGCTTTTGTCGTACAAGCGCCCAAATATCGTTGCACTCAGTTGTCGTGCACCCAAATGTCGTTGCGCTCAAGTGTCGTTGCGCCTAAATACCGGCGCCCAAGTGTCGAGCGCCCAAATATCTGGTAATCTACTAGACTAGATGTTTTGATCTTCATTCGAGCTATGTATTCTAATTAATATTTGCAGAAAAATAGGTCGTTGTGTGTCTATAAAATACCATACTTCAATCATAATTCCATCAATGTTACCGTTAGAAATGGCATCCATCAACTATTTACAGCAGACAACAGCGCTGGTATAAATAGTCACAGCCAAACAAAATAAGTATATTAATGAACACATCAGATCATTAGAAACAATATAAACGTTTATTTATCAGAAACTATTTTAACACCAGCAAGTTATTAGGCATTCAGTACCATAAAAATTATATCCTGATGTTACCAACAATACCATTAATTGAATGACGAGAATGACTGATAATTGAGCCCTCAACTATAAACTAAAACTGGTTCATTACTGTCTCTCGAAGCGATATTCATTTTAGTTAATCATACTGTTATTAATAGGTTTTTTTCTTTTATCAGTAGAAACAATACTCATATATTGACTTCTTTTTACTTTTTCTTTAGATGCATTCTGACTAATCTGTAAAAAAGACGTTCAAAATGTCAGTTAGCACGAGTCTAACGATGTTCGCCTCAGTAGAATGATTAAAAAAAAACAATTCGTTTTTAAGAATAAACGAGCTATGGGTACCTTCTCTCACTCTCTTTTTTGACCTTGTTGCAAAATCGAGAGCAAACATCTAATAAAACGGAAAATTTAAGCAGAATTCGGAGGAAATCGAGAAAGAAAACCGATATATTTTTGCTTAGAATTTTCTATTCATTTTCTAGTGGTTTTCTAAAAAGAATAAGTTTTAGCTTTTGTATTTTATAACTTCATTAAAATTTGATCCGATCGGCTCAAAAATTGTACTGTAGCTCCCAGGAGATGCATCTAAGAGATTAATTTTGGGATGTATTACTATCATCGTTTATGCATGAATTATAGCAAAAAATACTAAAAGCTCCTTGAAAGACTAAAGTTTTTAACTTTAAAAATTCTATATAAGTTGAGAAGTTACCATTGAAAACGTTGAAAATGTATTGCTCAGATGATCTCAGTAAAACTGCCAGTGAACGATTCGATTACATTTCAATGGGGTTGTAATGTATGTAAGTCAATCAGAATCATTAGTGTTTTGAGCATTACAGACAAGACTAAATAGGCCAGTTTTTCCAGGACATTTGCGACGATACACATATGTCCGCGAACAATAAGTGAATAATTTTTCGGAGATGTTGCACTTTGCTCTACCACACTCTATAGAGGAAAAGACTTTAAAGACACTAGAGACGAGAGAAAAGATTGGAACCTTAAAATATTGAGTTTTTTAGCCTCTAGATCAAAAACTGTAACTTTTGTACACGAAAAATAGTGATGGAATACCGGAAATAATATAATATTTTAGGTCAGACTTTATAATCTGATCTAGAGGAAGTAATTCCTCTACATTAGACCATGTTCAAATCAAAAACTTTATGAAAGAAGAAGCGGAGGCGGATATATGTAAACCTTGTCAAACCGAATCTAGAAAGTTAGTATTTCTCTTGTTTTTTTAAATAAAATCTTATATTCTGCATTGTTTTGTTATGTCTTGTACTCTTTTTTCTTACCCAGATGAGAGCAAACTTATGAGGGCAAGAAGTATTCTGTACATTTAAATATTGGAAAGAGAATATGACTCTGTAGGAATATTTTCGTTATTAATTGGAATATTTTGTTCTCTACCATTCTACAACCAATAGATTTTTCATTCAAAACTTGATTTTGTTTGATGAACTAAACTACAGTAAAATTAACGAAATATCCACAGTTTCTTAGAATAACTCGAAAGTTTAAATTTCACTCTCCAGAAATGTGTATTTTAAAGGTTTAAAGGGATTATTCTACTATAAACTAACCGATATTACAGCGCATCGCATCTTAGCTCGACAATATAAGTCCTTAAATTTTATATGATGAAAGGTTGTTATAACATGAATTTTTTTCTGTTCTAGAAAGTATTCAAGCTGATTTTGATGAAGTATGTAACTATCCTATGTTTTCAATCCCGTCCATTTCATATAAATTCCGTGGGATAAATGAAATATATCGGGAAAGAATTTCAATATCCTGCCATGATTCTAACGACTCCTCCGAAATTTTAGGGCAAATTTTATTGAGATTGAATACATTATTTGATAGAAGAATAAAGAACATCAATTATTATTCGTTAAATATTTTGTTAACTACGATGAACGAACAGAATAATTTGGTATGTCAAAAGTTATCCTTATTGTTTTCACTGATTAACTATTTTTCTCTGCTGTCCAAAAAATTTCATTAAGTCGACTGAATGAAATAAGAGGAAACTTGTTGCATTTAATAAGAAAAAGTTGTTTTTCTTTCTCGTTTTTGTCAACTAAGTGCGATTTAAGGAAAGTGTACTATTTTGTTTAACTTCGTCGTTCTGTTCAGTAAATAGATTTGCAGAAAAGTTTATTCGATTCGTTGTTTATTAGTATTAGTAATTAGGTTCGTTGTTTATTAATCGAGGATAAAAACTTTATAACGTTTAGCAATAGTATGTTTGATTAATTTCTAAACTTTTTGTCATTGTAGTGCTAGAAAACATGATTCAATTCTCCAGCAGTTGTAGTTGATAAACGATTTGAAGTTTTTTTTGTGTGTTTATTCACATATTTTATTAGTCTTGAAAGATAAAGGAGGAATTTTTTGTAATTGTTTCACTTAATTGACTTTTTAATTTTTGCGCTGTTCTCTTTTCGATCTTTTCTAGTTCAAAATGACATGCCAGTGTGAAGTTATTGAAAGTCGAACTCAACGACATTGTGATTATTGTCGTTTAAAAGTATGTGTGGAAGATGGAATGTCAAAAGAACTAGTATGTGATGAGATAAAAAAGGTTTTGGAAAAACAAAGACGTAAGAAAAAAAATATTGGACAAAACGAAACGACACAGGTAAGATGTTATAGTATGCAATACACTTCAGTTCTCAGACTTTTTTCGTTCTGTTATATCATGACACTAAATGCAATATTATTCATATTTTCACACGTGAGATAAACTTTACCATCGATCGAGCATTTTTGATCGATGAACAAATTATCGTTTCTAGAAAAGACTACCTTAAAAATTGTAATTCTTAATTAGATCGTTTGTAGACCATGTAGCTCGGGTGATCATCTTATCTATTTTAGACAGTCATCTTTAGGCAGTCATTAAAAGAGTACGCTGAGAACGTTGATGTGTTGCTCTGAAGTGTCTAGGATCTTGCTCTGATCTGATATGCAGTCATAAATCATTGTGGATACCTCTTTAGTTTAAAATGAAATGTGTGTGTAATATGGGTGATCCACCAGTAGAGGGCCCATGTGATTATTGTCGTTTAAAAGTATGTTTCGAAAGTGGAATGCCGAAAGATATCATTTCTCTTGAAATTGAAAAAATTTTGAAAGATCAACGAATAAAAAAAAATGAACCTGAAAACACCTCAACAGCATTAACAACGGTAAGCAAAAAATCAATATAGTCATGTATTTAATTACAACTTTTATTGGTTAGATTCGTCCAGTAAATCTTTTACATAATGATACATCACGACTCACTGAATTAGACTGGATGTATTTGACAAATATTTCAAATGTCTATGATCATTATTGTTGTGGACCTGTATCCAGACGAATTAGAATTCATCATAAAGATAAAAACCAAATATTAATACCATTTAGAGCACGATGTAAATTACAGCGCTATTTAGATTTTACATCAGATAATCTTTCATCATTAATATCATTTTTCAAACATATACCAGAATTTCGACATTTACCAGATGAAACGAAAACAGCATTACTACAACGAAATTTAAGACATTCAGGTAAATAAACAAAACATTTTGTGCTACAGTTTTTCTCTTTTAAAGTTTATTACCAAAATTTGCTCCAGATTATCCCTAGTCAAGACTCTCTCTAAAGTTCCCCTACAACTCTCCTAAAATCTACCGAAGAGTCTAGCAGGAGATCCAGCGGAACCACGTTACGTGGTCCTCGGAGGAGTGGAGGGGAGATTGATGGATTTTCAAGGGGATCCACCAAGCTCCCTAGGGGGTCACCATGGTGATCTACCATACTCCTGCGGTGGTCGCCGTGGAAGTCTGGTGGATCACCCGGGAGTAAGGGAGACTTAGCAACAGAACTAAGTAACACATTAGTTGGTTTTACTATATATGGTACCTAGGTTGAGGTACCATCACTGGTACCAATGTAACACATATCAACAAAGGCTGACACGTTAGTGACAACTAACTAGAAGAAAATTCGTAAAATTTTATCAGAGAACTGTATTATATTTATATGTTGTCTATCTGAAAAAAAAGAAGGTGAGTGAGGGGGTGGCAGGGAGCTTTGGGGGAGTGTCGACTGGGAATGATGAAAAGCGACTCTCCTGTTGATCCCAAGAGGATCCTCATAGGGTCACCGGTGGGGGTTCATCGACGTGGAACTCACTGGTGAGTCCCCAGGAGATTTCCCCGTGATCACCAGGGGATTTTTCTCAAAATGGCGGGCTCCCCGGGGGAGTCCCGACTGAGCACTCTCTCTCTCTCTCTTTCCCTTTTATACCGCATCCGAAGAACTATAATAGTTATTTTAAAATATTTTGTTCTTTAGCGGGACTGAATATTATTGAACCAATGAGAAGTTGTAATATTGTTCCATGGGAACAAGATTATTTACTTTGGGAATATGTTTATGGTGCTGGCATATTAACTGAATTAAAAGAAAACACTTCGTATGTTGATTCACTTTTAAAAGAGCCATTGTTGATAAAATTAATATTGATTACTTTAATATTTTCAACAAATTTTTCACCAACAACTTTCGATGATAAATATGTCAATTATCGGTATACACCATCGACAACGGAAATATTTTATTTGCAAAATTTTTACTTAAGACTATTGTGGGGTTTTATGCTATATCGCTTTGGTGAAACACAAACAATTGCTATATTATCAAAATTGATTCGACTTTTGTTGAAAGTATTGAGATTGGCCAACATTGTTGATCAACATTTTGAAGAAAGACATGATCTTAATAAAATCATAGAACTAACGCAGTCTATAGTGCGTATATGAAGATTTCTTTTTTGTTTTTCTTCTTGTTGTGAAACAGAAATGCAGGGAAGAGATTTATCATATAAAAAGGTTGTATAATAGATAAAAAGTGAACATAAATTTGAACATATTATTTTTAACATTATTGTTTGACCATTATTTGTCTTCTAATAAAATACGATTTTTCACTTGGCTATTTATGAAATAAAAATCAAAATTTTTGCGGTATGGATGCAAAATGGTATACGGTCATTTCCACATAATTTGGTCGAAAATGTGATTTTGACACTTTTTTTCACTATTTCTTGTCTTTATGTCTTTTGAACAGAAGTACGGTCGAACCTCATGATTGTATCATTTTGTGTAGAAAAGTGTGCTATATTACGAAGATATTTAACACAACTGCTAAAAAGAAATTTTTTACTTTAAAAAAGAGTATATCTCCGTTTTATTGATATATCTCCATAATTAAGAAACGTAGAAAGCTCTAATACGTCTCATCTAGTTAAGCACACTTTTTCTTCACAAAGTGATACAATCATGAACACCAGGGGCGTTTTTCTGTTCAAAAAAAATATAAAGATGAAACTATGATGTAATTATCTTAGAATATTGTTAGGATATGACAGATATTTAGTTATCTTCTTGAACTATTTGAGTGAGATATGTAAATAGCAATAAGGTAAACAAGTGTATATTCAGTTCCTGATAAGAATATTCTTAAATATAACAGGTCTAGATCGGAAAGTAGAGCAAAAATTTCAATCTTGTTGAATAGAAATTTTCGCTGAGAGCGATCAGATGCACACTCTAAAAGATAATGTGTTGAATAGTTTCCTCCACTTGACACCTACAAAAATTATTATTGACAAACGTTTAACAATCAAAATTTAGAGTTGAAAATTTGACACGAAGGCTGTTGGAAATAGGCCAGAATATACATTACTTATTCGATAATAGGTTAGACTTGGGACAAACGCAGTTCATTTCTCATTCATGTGCTCTGGAAATTGTTAAGTTTTTTTGTTTTAACTCTAAACAATTATGACTACCACCTTCGAGGATTACTATTTGCTGATGTTTTAATGTTACAACTGGTACTCGTTTATTGACTTTATCAGGCATTTAAACATTTAAATCAGCCATGACGTAAAATTTTCGGTGAAGATCGTCTTCGACTCATTTTCGATTTGAATGTGATATCAGGAGATCTGTTGGACTTCCATTGTAATAAACTTTAACTTACTAACTTTCTCAGATGATTTAGTTCGTTTAATCTCATATTCTCCCGACCAATAAGGTGGGTCAAAACTCTTTGATTTTACTTATTGTTTCGTTTCGATCAAACCTTCAACTTCAACTAATAAAACTGTTAAACTTAAATGTTAAAAATTGTTTAGTTTTCTGTAAAAATAACCAACATATGGGATTATTCCACTTTGAGCAGATTTTCATAGTCACCGTCATTTTCTCGATAGTCCCGATGAACTTCTTATAGGGTTTCTTC